CTTGTCGCAGTGTTAGCGCATGTTGACCTTGTCCCAGAGTTAGTGCATGTTGACCTTGACCCAGAGTTACTGCATGTTGACCTTTACCCAGAGTTAGTGCATGTTGACCTTGTCCCAGATTTAGTGTTGTGTTGCACTGACTTGTTAACACTTAATCTTCATTGTCAGATGATTTTATGTGAAACTGATTGCTAGTTTGTATAAATTAATTGAAGAAATTTCTTGAGCGATATGACACATCAATGATCAATCGATCAATTAGATTAAAGAAAAAAAACAAAAACAAACTTAGATCAGTAACTACCATTTAAAATTGTCACAACAGCATTCTATATAAAGGGAGACTTTGTCATGTCAACATTCTATATGTAAGGAAAATTTGTCATGTCAACATTCTGTATTCTATATAAAGGGAGACTTTGTCATGTCAACATTCTATATATAAGGAAAATTTGTCTGTCAACATTCTGTATATAGGGAGACCTTATCATGTCAGCATTCTATATATAGGGAGACTTTGTCATGTCAGCATTCTATATATAGGGAGACTTTGCCATGTCAACATTCTATATATAGGGAGACTTTGCCATGTCAACATTCTATATATAAGGGAAATTTGTCATGTCAACATTATATATATAGGAAGAATTTGTCATGTCAGCATTCTATGTATAGGGAGAATTTGTTATGTCAGCATTTTATATATAGGGAGACTTCGTCATGTCAGCATTCTATATATAGGGAGACTTTGCCATGTCAACATTCTATATATAAGGGAAATTTGTCATGTCAACATTATATATATAGGAAGAATTTGTCATGTCAGCATTCTATGTATAGGGAGAATTTGTTATGTCAGCATTTTATATATAGGGAGACTTCGTCATGTCAGCATTCTATATATAGGGAGACTTTGCCATGTCAACATTTTATATATAGGGAGACTTTGTCATGTCGGCATTCTATATATAGGGAGACTTTGTCATGTCAGCATTCTATATATAGGAAGAATTTGTCATGTCAGCATTCTATGTATAGGGAGAATTTGTTATGTCAGCATTCTATATATAGGGAGACTTTGTCATGTCAGCATTTTATATATAGGGAGACTTTGTCATGTCGGCATTCTATATATAGGGAGACTTTGTCATGTCAGCATTCTATATATAGGGAGACTTTGTCATGTCAGCATTCTATATATATATATAATATACATTAGTTTATCTGGTCAAGGAAGTACTTATATATACATTTGTTTATCTGATCAAGGGGGTACTTATATATACATTTGTTTATCTGATCAAGGGGGTACTTATATATACATTTGTTTATCTGATCAAGGGAGTCTTTATATATACATTTGTTTATCTGATCAAGGGGGTACTTATATATACATTTGTTTATCTGGTCAATCAGGCTGATCAAGAGTACTTATATATACATTTGTTTATCTGATCAAGGGGGTACTTATATATGCATTTGTTTATCTGATCAAGGGGGTACTTATATATACATTTCTTTATCTGATCAAGGAGTACTTATATATACATTTGTTTATCAGATCAACAGGCTGGTCAAGGGAGTACTTATATATACATTTCTTTATCTGATCAAGGGAGTTCTTATATATACATTTGTTTATCAGATCAACAGGCTGATCAAGGAGTACTTATATATGCATTTGTTTATCTGATCAAGGGGGTACTTATATATACATTTCTTTATCTGATCAAGGAGTACTTATATATACATTTGGAGTACTTATATATACATTTGTTTATCTGATCAAGGTTTATCTGATCAGTACTTATATATACATTTGTTTATCTGATCTGATCAAGGGAGTACTTATATATACATTTGTTTATCTGATCAAGGGCTGGTACTTATATATACATTTGTTTATCTTTTTAAAAGGCTGATCAAGGAGTACTTATATATACATTTGTTTATCTGATCAACAGGGGAGTACTTATATATACATTTGTTTATCTGATCAAGGCTGAGTACTTATATATACATTTGTTTATCTGATCAAGGGAGTACTTATATATACATTTGTTTATCTGATCAACAGGCTGGTCAATATATACATTTGAGTACTTATATATACATTTGTTTATCTGATCAAGGAGTATTTATATATACATTTGTTTATCAGATCAACAGGCTGATCAAGGAGTACTTATATATGCATTTGTTTATCTGATCAAGGGGAGTACTTATATATACATTTCTTTATCAGATCAACAGGCTGGTCAAAGGAGTACTTATATAAACATTTGTTTATCTGGTCAAGGGAGTACTTATATATACATTTGTTTATCAGATCAAGGGGGTACTTATATATACATTTGTTTATCTGATCAAGGGGGTACTTATATATACATTTGTTTATCTGATCAAGGGGGTACTTATATATACATTTGTTTATCTGATCAAGGGAGTACTTATATATACATTTCTTTATCTGATCAAGGGAGTACGTATATATACATTTCTTTATCAGATCAACAGGCTGATCAAGGGGGTACTTATATATACATTTGTTTATCTGATGAACAGGCTGATCAAGGAGTACTTATATATGCATTTGTTTATCTGATCAAGGGGGTACTTATATATACATTTCTTTATCTGAGCAACAGGCTGGTCAAGGGAGTACTTATATATACATTTGTTTATCTGATCAAGGGGGTACTTATATATACATTTGTTTATCTGATCAAGGGGGTACTTATATATACATTTGTTTATCTGGTCAAGGGGGTACTTATATATACATTTGTTTATCTGATCAACAGGCTGGTCAAGGGGGTACTTATATAAACATTTGTTTATCTGATCAACAGGCTGATCAAGGAGTACTTATATATACATTTGTTTATCAGATCAACAGGCTGATCAAGGAGTACTTATATATGCATTTGTTTATCTGATCAAGGGGGTACTTATATATACATTTGTTTATCTGATCAAGGGGGTACTTATATATACATTTGTTTATCTGATCAACAGGCTGATCAAGGGAGTACTTATATATACATTTGTTTATCTGATCAAGGGAGTACTTATATATACATTTGTTTATCAGATCAACAGGCTGATCAAGGAGTACTTATATATACATTTGTTTATCAGATCAAGGGGGTACTTATATATACATTTGTTTATCTGATCAAGGGGGTACTTATATATACATTTGTTTATCTGATCAAGGGGGTACTTATATAAACATTTGTTTATCTGATCAACAGGCTGATCAAGGAGTACTTATATATACATTTGTTTATCTGATCAAGGGGGTACTTATATATACATTTGTTTATCTGATCAAGGGGGTACTTATATATACATTTGTTTATCTGGTCAAGGGGGTACTTATATATACATTTGTTTATCTGATCAAGGGGGTACTTATATATACATTTGTTTATCTGATCAAGGGGGTACTTATATAAACATTTGTTTATCTTATATATACATTTGTTTATCTGATCAAGGGAGTACTTATATATACATTTGTTTATCTGATCAAGGGAGTCTTTATATATACATTTGTTTATCTGATCAAGGGGGTACTTATATATACATTTGTTTATCTGATCAACAGGCTGGTCAAGGGGGTACTTATATATACATTTGTTTATCTGATCAACAGGCTGGTCAAGGGGGTACTTATATATACATTTGTTTATCTGATCAAGGGCTATATATATATATATACATTTGTTTATCTGATCATTTGTTTATCTGATATATATATACATTTGTTTATCTGGAGGTACTTATATATACATTTGTTTATCTGATCAAGGTGGTACTTATATAAACATTTGTTTATCAGATCAACAGGCTGATCAAGGGGGTACTTATATATGCATTTGTTTATCTGATCAAGGGGGTACTTATATATACATTTGTTTATCTGATCAAGATCATATATACATTTGCTGATCAAGGGGTACTTATATATACATTTGTTTATCTGATCAAGGGGTACTTATATATACATTTGTTTATCTGATCAAGGGGGTACTTATATATACATTTGTTTATCTGATCAAGGGGGTACTTATATATACATTTGTTTATCTGATCAAGGGGGTACTTATATATACATTTGTTTATCTGATCAAGGGGGTACATATATATACATTTGTTTATCTGATCAAGGGGGTACTTATATATACATTTGTTTATCTGATCAAGGGGGTACTTATATATACATTTGTTTATCAGATCAAGGGGGTATTATATATACATTTGTTTATCTGATCAAGGGGGTACTTATATATACATTTGTTTATCAGATCAAGGGAGTACTTATATATACATTTGTTTATCTGATCAACAGGCTGATCAAGGAGTACTTATATATACATTTGTTTATCTGATGAACACGCTGATGGCAGTTCTCTTGGCAATTCTTCATGATAGCTTAAGAAAATTTAATTTAATGTAAGTTGGTGCAAAAAAACTGATAAATTGTGTGGCCCTTTTAGTTATTTAACCATATGGCTCAGGTATGTTCACCTCTGTATAACAATTCCATCCATATCAATAATATTTAACTGAAAAAAGGGTGACAATGTCTAGAGATATGTGTGATAGATAGGTGGTTTACTGTGGGGTTGGAACTTGATAAAACGTGTGGGCTTGGGGCTTGATGAAATGTGTGGGGTTGGGACTTGATGAAACGTGTGGGGTTGGGGCTTGATAAAACATGTGGGGTTGGGACTTGATGATACGTGTGGAGTTGGGACTTGATGAAACCTGTGGGGTTAGGACTTGATGAAACCTGAGGCTAAAACAGATCAATTTTACTATTTCATTGCTTATCATTTGAAGCACCATATCTTCACCTACCAGTTGGATATGTGATTGATATAACAAGTCTGTACTACATATTTCTCAAACTCAAATGATCACAAATTTTACTGTTCAATGGTCTTCAGTTGGTAACTTTTAATGTAAAGAAAGTATATCTGTGTTTACAGCTCTGAGCCTGGGTCACCAGTGTCAAAAAGTCCTCAGTCTAAAGACGGTTACAATCAATTTCATCAGGTGTCAAATGCCACTGCTGCTCCCCGCACAAGGAAGCTGTCAGCTGTAGACAAAGGTATATACTCATTTGGATTTACACAAATTGAATGCCTTTCAGTAACAGTGGGAATGGGCACAAAACTCTAGATGACATGATACAATTTCTAAAATACATTTTCTACCACATTAGATGGGTGTAATTCAACTCAACATCAATTAATCATTATACAACATGTGGTGTAACACTTTTACATGATTTGATTGGCTGACCTTCACACGCTCAAGAAGAATAAGAATTAAGTAGTTTAGGATTGTTTTTGTAATTGTTTGATTTCTTTTTTAAGTTATGTCTTCTGATTTGCTCTGAAGATAAGAAAGTAATCTATTTCTAGAGATAGCCAGTCATGATTTACAATGTTTTCTAAAAAAAAATGTTTTTTGTTTTACATCTGAATTAATGGCATTTCACTACAGGTCATAACCCCCAACTGATGACATAAACAAAACATGGGTACAGAACAGGTCATTACCCCCCAACTGATGACATAAACAAAACATGGGTACAGAACAGGTCATTACCCCCCAACTGATGACATAAACAAAACATGGGTACAGAACAGATCATTACCCCCCAACTGATGACATAAACAAAACATGGGTACAGAACAGGTCATAACCCCCCAACTGATGACATAAACAAAACATGGGTACAGAACAGGTCATTACCTCCCAACTGATGACATAAACAAAACATGGGTACAGAACAGGTCATTACCCCCCAACTGATGACATAAACAAAACATGGGTACAGAACAGATCATTACCCCCCAACTGATGACATAAACAAAACATGGGTACAGAACAGGTCATAACCCCCCAACTGATGACATAAACAAAACATGGGTACAGAACAGGTCATTACCTCCCAACTGATGACATAAACAAAACATGGGTACAGAACAGATCATTACCCCCCAACTGATGACATAAACAAAACATGGGTACAGAACAGATCATTACCCCCCCCCCAAACTGATGACATAAACAAAACATGGGTACAGAACAGGTCATTACCTCCCAACTGATGACATAAACAAAACATGGGTACAGAACAGATCATTACCCCCCCCCCAAACTGATGACATAAACAAAACATGGGTACAGAACAGGTCATAACCCACCCACCCCCAACTGATGACATAAACAAAACATGGGTACAGAACAGGTTATTACCCCCAACTGATGACATAAACAAAACATGTGGCTACAGAACAGGTCATTACCCCCAACTGATGACATAAACAAAACATGGGTACAGAACAGGTTATTACCCCCAAATTTACATCTATAAACAAAGGTATGTACATGTAATTAACACCTATAAACAAAGGTATATACATGTAATTAACACCTATAAACAAAGGTATGTACATGTAATTTACACCTGTAGACAAAGGTATGTACATGTAATTTACACCTATAAACAAAGGTATATACATGTAATTTACACCTATAAACAAAGGTATGTACATTTAATTTACACCTATAAACAAAGGTATATACATGTAATTTACACCTATAAACAAAGGTATGTACATGTAATTTACACCTGTAGACAAAGGTATGTACATGTAATTTACACCTGTAGACAAAGATATGTACATGTAATTTACACCTATAAACAAAGGTATGTACATGTAATTTACACCTATAAACAAAGGTATGTACATGTAATTTACACCTATAAACAAAGGTATGTACATGTAATTTACACCTGTAAACAAAGGTATATACATGTAATTTACACCTATAAACAAAGGTATATACATGTAATTTACACCTATAAACAAAGGTATGTACATGTAATTTACACCTATAAACAAAGGTATATACATGTAATTTACACCTGTAGACAAAGGTATGTACATGTAATTTACACCTATAAACAAAGGTATATACATGTAATTTACACCTATAAACAAAGGTATGTACATGTAATTTACACCTATAAACAAAGGTATGTACATGTAATTTACACCTGTAAACAAAGGTATGTACATGTAATTTACACCTGTAGACAAAGATATGTACATGTAATTTACACCTGTAGACAAAGGTATGTACATGTAATTTACACCTGTAGACAAAGGTATGTACATGTAATTTACACCTGTAGACAAAGGTATGTACATGTAATTTACACTTGTAGACAAAGGTATGTACATGTAATTTACACCTGTAGACAAAGGTATGTACATGTAATTTACACTTGTAGACAAAGGTATTAAGGTCTACACAAGGACTTATTAACTTTACTAGCAAACTTCTACGTATTTTATATATTTTTATTGTTTTCTAGGTCTAATAGATGCTGCAAAGAGAGGCGACCTTTCAAAGGTAATTAATAACTATTATATATATAAATGTCAACTAAGTTTCTTTATAGTGTAATTTACCTGTACGTAGATCTGCTGTAGATGTGTTTATAGGAAGTGTCTGGTGTTTGTTGATCTGCTACTGTAGATGTCTTTATAGGAAGTGTCTGATGTTTGTTTATCTGCTACTGTAGATGTGTTTATAGGAAGTGTCTGATGTTTATTGATCTGCTACTGTAGATGTGTTTATAGGAAGTGTCTGATGTTTATTGATCTGCTGCTGTAGATGTGTTATAGGAAGTGTCTGATGTTTATTGATCTGCTACTGTAGATGTGTTTATAGGAAGTGTCTGATGTTTGTTGATCTGCTGCTGTAGATGTGTTATATGAGGTGTGTCTGATGTTTGTTGATCTGCTGCTGTAGATGTGTTATAGGAAGTGTCAGATGTTTGTTGATCTGCTACTGTAGATGTGTTATACGAGGTGTGTCTGATGTTTGTTGATCTGCTACTGTAGATGTGTTATAGGAAGTGTCTGATGTTTGTTGATCTGCTGCTGTAGATGAGTTATATCAGGTGTGTCTGATGTTTGTTGATCTGCTACTGTAGATGTGTTATAGGAAGTGTCTGATGTTTGTTGATCTGCTGCTGTAGATGTGTTATACGAGGTGTGTCTGATGTTTATTGATCTGCTGCTGTAGATGTGCTATAGGAAGTGTCTGATGTTTGTTGATCTGCTGCTGTAGATGTGTTATACGAGGTGTGTCTGATGTTTATTGATCTGCTACTGTAGATGTGCTATAGGAAGTGTCTGATGTTTGTTGATCTGCTGCTGTAGATGTGTTATAGGAATTGTCTGATGTTTGTTGATCTGCTACTGTAGATCTGTTATAGGAAGTGTCTGATGTTTGTTGATCTGCTGCTGTAGATGTGTTATAGGAAGTGTCTGATGTTTGTTGATCTGCTGCTGTAGATGTGTTATAGGAATTGTCTGATGTTTGTTGATCTGCTGCTGTAGATGTGCTATAGGAAGTGTCTGATGTTTGTTGATCTGCTGCTGTAGATGTGTTATAGGAATTGTCTGATGTTTGTTGATCTGCTGCTGTAGATGTGTTATAGGAATTGTCTGATGTTTGTTGATCTGCTGCTGTAGATGTGTTATAGGAATTGTCTGATGTTTGTTGATCTGCTGCTGTAGATGTGTTATAGGAATTGTCTGATGTTTGTTGATCTGCTGCTGTAGATGTGTTATAGGAATTGTCTGATGTTTGTTGATCTGCTGCTGTAGATGTGTTATAGGAATTGTCTGATGTTTGTTGATCTGCTGCTGTAGATGTGTTATAGGAAGTGTCTGATGTTTGTTGATCTGCTGCTGTAGATGTGTTATAGGAATTGTCTGATGTTTGTTGATCTGCTGCTGTAGATGTGTTATAGGAAGTGTCTGATGTTTGTTGATCTGCTGCTGTAGATGTGTTATAGGAATTGTCTGATGTTTGTTGATCTGCTGCTGTAGATGTGTTATAGGAATTGTCTGATGTTTGTTGATCTGCTGCTGTAGATGTGTTATAGGAAGTGTCTGATGTTTGTTGATCTGCTGCTGTAGATGTGTTATAGGAATTGTCTGATGTTTATTGATCTGCTGCTGTAGATGTGTTATAGGAAGTGTCTGATGTTTGTTGATCTGCTACTGTAGATCTGTTATAGGAATTGTCTGATGTTTATTGATCTGCTGCTGTAGATGTGTTATAGGAAGTGTCTGATGTTTGTTGATCTGCTGCTGTAGATGTGTTATAGGAAGTGTCTGATGTTTGTTGATCTGCTGCTGTAGATGTGTTATAGGAATTGTCTGATGTTTATTGATCTGCTGCTGTAGATGTGTTATAGGAAGTGTCTGATGTTTGTTGACAGTTGGTGGAATTCTTCTGTAACCATGACGCAAACCTACTGGCCACAGACCAATATGGAATGACAGCCTTACATCATGCAGCACGGTTCGGACACAAAGGGATTGTCAAATACCTCATAGATAATGGTAAATACCCCTATATTGTATCAAGGGTCCGGACATCTAAATACCCCTATACTGTAACAAGGGTCCGGACATCTAAGTACCCCTATACTGTAACAAGGGTCCGGACATCTAATTACCCCTATACTGTAACAAGGGTCCGGACATCTAAATACCCCTATACTGTAACAAGGGTCCGGACATCTAATTACCCCTATACTGTAACAAGGGTCCGGACATCTAATTACCCCTATACTGTAACAAGGGTCCAGACATCAAATAGAAATACCTTTTATTATTGCAGTAATGTCTGTATTACAGAGCCCTCTAGTTGACTAGACATGTGTAGTAATGTCTGTATTACAGAACCCTCTAGTTGACTAGACATGTGTAGTTATGTCTGTATTACAGAGCCCTCTAGTTGACTAGACATGTGTAGTAATGTCTGTATTACAGAGCCCTCTAGTTGACTAGACATGTGTAGTAATGTCTGTATTACAGAGCCCTCTAGTTGATTAGACATGTAGTTATGTCTATATTACAGAACCCTCTAGTTGACTAGACATGTAGTAATGTCTATATTACAGAACCCTCTAGTTGACTAGGCAGGTAGTAATGTCTGTATTACAGAGCCCTCTAGTTGACTAGACATGTGTAGTAATGTCTGTATTACAGAGCCCTCTAGTTGACTAGACATGTAGTAATGTCTATATTACAGAACCCTCTAGTTGACTAGACATGTAGTTATGTCTGTATTACAGAACCTTCTAGTTGACTAGACATGTGTAGTTATGTCTATATTACAGAACCCTGTAGTTGACTAGACATGTAGTAATGTCTGTATTATAGAGCCCTCTAGTTGACTAGACATGTGTAGTAATGTCTGTATTACAGAGCCCTCTAGTTAACTAGACGTGTGTAGTAATGTCTATATTACAGAACCCTCTAGTTGACTAGACATGTGTAGTTATGTCTATTACAGAGCCCTCTAGTTGACTAGACATGTAGTTATGTCTGTATTACAGAGCCCTCTAGTTGACTAGACATGTGTAGTTATGTCTATTACAGAGCCCTCTAGTTGACTAGACATGTAGTTATGTCTGTATTACAGAACCCTCTAGTTGACTAGACATGTGTAGTTATGTCTGTATTACAGAGCCCTCTAGTTGACTAGACATGTGTAGTAATGTCTGTATTACAGAGCCCTCTAGTTGACTAGACATGTAGTTATGTCTGTATTACAGAACACTCTAGTTGACTAGACTAGATGTCTGTATTACAGAGCCCTCTAGTTGACTAGACATGTGTAGTAATGTCTGTATTACAGAGCCCTCTAGTTGACTAGACGTGTAGTTATGTCTGTATTACAGAACCCTCTAGTTGACTAGACATGTGTAGTTATGTCTGTATTACAGAGCCCTCTAGTTGACTAGACATGTGTAGTAATGTCTATATTACAGAACCCTGTAGTTGACTAGGCATGTAGCAATGTCTGTATTATAGAGCCCTCTAGTTGACTAGACATGTGTAGTAATGTCTGTATTATAGAGCCCTCTAGTTGACTAGACATGTGTAGTAATGTCTGTATTACAGAGCCCTCTAGTTGACTAGACGTGTAGTTATGTCTGTATTACAGAACCCTCTAGTTGACTAGACATGTGTAGTTATGTCTGTATTACAGAGCCCTCTAGTTGACTAGACATGTGTAGTAATGTCTGTATTACAGAGCCCTCTAGTTGACTAGACGTGTAGTTATGTCTGTATTACAGAGCCCTGTAGTTGACTAGACATGTAGCAATGTCTGTATTACAGAGCCCTCTAGTTGACTAGACATGTAGTTATGTCTGTATTACAGAGCCCTCTAGTTGACTAGACGTGTAGTTATGTCTGTATTACAGAGCCCTCTAGTTGACTAGACATGTAGTTATGTCTGTATTACAGAACCCTCTAGTTGACTAGACATGTAGTTATGTCTGTATTACAGAACCCTCTAGTTGACTAGACATGTAGTTATGTCTGTATTACAGAGCCCTCTAGTTGACTAGACATGTGTAGTAATGTCTGTATTACAGAGCCCTCTAGTTGACTAGACATGTAGTAATGTCTATATTACAGAACCCTCTAGTTGACTAGGCATGTAGTAATGTCTGTATTACAGAGCCCTCTAGTTGACTAGACATGTGTAGTAATGTCTGTATTACAGAGCCCTCTAGTTGACTAGACGTGTAGTTATGTCTGTATTACAGAGCCCTGTAGTTGACTAGACATGTGTAGTAATGTCTGCATTACAGAGCCCCCTAGTTGACTAGACGTGTAGTTATGTCTGTATTACAGAGCCCTGTAGTTGACTAGACATGTGTAGTAATGTCTGCATTACAGAGCCCTCTAGTTGACTAGACGTGTAGTTATGTCTGTATTACAGAGCTCTGTAGTTGACTAGACATGTGTAGTAATGTCTGTATTACAGAGCCCTCTAGTTGACTAGACGTGTAGTTATGTCTGTATTACAGAGCCCTGTAGTTGACTAGACATGTAGCAATGTCTGTATTACAGAACCCTCTAGTTGACTAGACATGTAGCAATGTCTGTATTACAGAGCCCTCTAGTTGATTAGACATGTAGCAATGTCTGTATTACAGAGCCCTCTAGTTGATTAGACATGTAGCAATGTCTGTATTACAGAGCCCTCTAGTTGACTAGACATGTGTAGTAATGTCTGTATTACAGAGCCCTCTAGTTGATTAGACATGTAGCAATGTCTGTATTACAGAGCCCTCTAGTTGACTAGACATGTGTAGTAATGTCTGTATTACAGAGCTCTGTAGTTGACTAGACATGTGTAGTAATGTCTGTATTACAGAGCCCTCTAGTTGACTAGACATGTAGCAATGTCTGTATTACAGAGCCCTCTAGTTGACTAGACATGTGTAGTAATGTCTATTTAAGTCCTGAAAGTGTTCTAATCAGATGTCATATGCTTTGCCATCTTCATTATTGCACAAAAGTCAGATGAGTACTGCGAAGTGATTTGATGTTATTAGTAATATCTGTTTCTGTTTCCAGCACCCCCTGTGATACTGGATATGGTGGACCATGAGAAGTGAGTTTACACACAAAGCACCAAGGATATAGTCATATAACAGTGTTGGTGATGAGAAATACTTATACCCATTTTCCAGTCAGATAAATGTGAAAAACAAGAATTGTAGGAAATGTGTTGTAAATAGATAATTGATTGTAAACAGTTTCCTATGTAAGGGGAGGTAATCAATAAAATATGACCACCAATGTTGAATGTTCTTACAGTAGAATATATATATATATATGTATAGTGTTTTAAATTCTGACAATAGTCACATCTATTTACAGAGGGCAGACAGCATTACACAAGGCAGCATGGTATCAGCGAAGGACAATCTGTTATATGTTAGTGGAGACAGGTGCTTCACTCACTCGTACAGATTATCAGGTAGGTTATGGAGACAGGTGCTTAACTCATTCGTACAGATTGTGGGGTCTCTAAAGCTAGGATGTAGGACGCTGAGGACTCTAAGGCTAGGATGTGGGACTCTAGGGACTCTAAGGCTGGGATGTAGGACTCTGGAGACTCTAAGGCTGGGATGTGGGACTCTAGGGACTCTAAGGCTGGGATGTAGGACTCTGTGGACTCTAAGGCTGGGATGTGGGACTCTAGGGACTCTAAGGCTAGGATGTAGGACTCTAGGGACTCTAAGGCTGGGATGTAGGACTCTAGGGACTCTAAGGCTGGGATGTGGGACTCTAGGGACTCTAAGGCTGGGATGTGGGACTCTAAAGACTTTAAGGCTGGGATGTAGGACTCTAGGGACTCTAAGGCTGGGATGTAGGACTCTGAAGACTCTAAAGCTGGGATGTAGAACTCTAGGGACTCTAAGGCTGGGATGTAGGGCTCTGTGGACTCTAAGGCTGGGATGTAGGACTCTAGGGACTCTAAGGCTAGGTTGTAGGACTCTAGGGACTCTAAGACTGGGATGTAGGACGATGGGGACTCTAAGACTGGGATGTAGGACTGTGAAGACTCTAAGACTGGGATATAGGACTCTGGAGACTCTAAGACTGGGATGTAGGATTCTGGGGACTCTAAGACTGGGATGTAGGACTCTGGAGACTCTAAGGCTGGGATGTAGGACTCTGGAGACTCTTAGACTGGGATGTAGGACTCTGTGGACACTTAGACTGGGATGTAGGACTCTGGAGACTCTAAGACTGGGATGTAGGACTCTGTGGACTCTTAGACTGGGATGTAGGACTCTGGAGAGTCTACGACTGGGATGTAGGATTCTGGGGACTCTTAGACTGGGATGTAGGACTCTGTGGACACTTAGACTGGGATGTAGGTAGGACTCTGTGGACTCTTAGACTGGGATGTAGGACTCTGGAGAGTCTACGACTGGGATGTAGGATTCTGGGGACTCTTAGACTGGGATGTAGGACTCTGTGGACACTTAGACTGGGATGTAGGATTCTGGGGACTCTAAGACTGGGATATAGGACTCTGGAGACTCTAAGACTGGGATGTAGGATTCTGGGGACTCTAAGACTGGGATGTAGGACTCTGGAGACTCTAAGGCTGGGATGTAGGACTCTGGAGACTCTTAGACTGGGATGTAGGACTCTGTGGACACTTAGACTGGGATGTAGGACTCTGGAGACTCTAAGACTGGGATGTAGGACTCTGTGGACTCTTAGACTGGGATGTAGGACTCTGGAGAGTCTACGACTGGGATGTAGGATTCTGGGGACTCTTAGACTGGGATGTAGGACTCTGTGGACACTTAGACTGGGATGTAGGACTCTGGAGACTCTAAGACTGGGATGTAGGACTCTGTGGACTCTTAGACTGGGATGTAGGACTCTGGAGAGTCTACGACTGGGATGTAGGATTCTGGGGACTCTTAGACTGGGATGTAGGACTCTGTGGACACTTAGACTGGGATGTAGGACTCTGGAGACTCTACGACTGGGATGTAGGATTTTGGGGACTCTACGACTGGGATGTAGGACTCTGGAGACTCTACGACTGGGATGTAGGATTCTGGGGACTCTTAGACTGGGATGTAGGACTCTGTGGACACTTAGACTGGGATGTAGGACTCTGCAGACTCTACGACTGGGATGTAGGATTCTGGGGACTCTAAGACTGGGATGTAGACTCTGTGGACTCTAAGACTAGGATGTTGGACTCGAGGGACTCTTAGACTGGGATGTAGGGTTTTGGGGACTCTTAGACTGGGATGTAGGATTCTGGAGACTCTAAGGCTGGGATGTAGGACTCTAGGGACTCTAAGACTGGGATGTAGGGTTTTGGGGACTCTTAGACTGGGATGTAGGATTCTGAGGACTCTTAGACTGGGATGTAGGATTCTGGGGACTCTAAGACTGGGATGTAGGACTCTGGAGACTCTTAGACTGGGATGTAGGACTTTGTGGACTCTTAGACTGGGATGTAGGACTCTGGAGACTCTAAGACTGGGATGTAGGATTCTGGGGACTCTTAGACTGGGATGTAGGATTCTGGAGAGTCGAACACATGAGGATATGGACAATTTTTAGGTATCTGGGATGTAGGATTTTAGGGAAATACATGTAGGACTCTGGAATGACTCTAAGGGACTGGGATGTACTCTTGGACTCTGGACTCTGAAACTCTGAAGACTGGGATGTAGGATTGTCTGGGATTGTAGATATTAGACTGGTGTGTCACACAAAGTAAATATCTGGACTCATCAATATGGGATGTAGGATTCTTGTGCAAATATCTGGTCATCAATATATTGTAGATATCAGACTGGTGTGTCACACATGAGGATATGGACAATTTTTAGGTATCATTTGTTTTGTCATTTTAGGGAAATACACCAAGAATGCAGGCTTTAAGGGCAGATGATCGGGACCTGTCAGTGTACTTAGAAAGTAAGTATCTGGTTATTGATGTGTCAAAGTAAATATCTGGTCATCAATTTATTGTAGATATTAGACTGGTGTGTCACACAAAGTAAATATCTGGTCATCAATATATTGTAGATATCAGACTGATGTGTCACACAATGCAAATATCTGGTCATCAATATATTGTAGATATCAGACTGGTGTGTCACACAAAGTAAATATCTGGTCATCAATATATTGTAGATATCAGACTGGTGTGTCACACAAAGTAAATATCTGGTCATCAATATATTGTAGATATCAGACTGATGTGTCACACAAAGTAAATATCTGGTCATCAATATATTGTAGATATCAGACTGGTGTGTCACACAAAGTAAATATCTGGTCATCAATATATTGTAGATATCAGACTGGTGTGTCACACAAAGTAAATATCTGGTCATCAATATATTGTAGATATCAGACTGGTGTGTCACACAAAGTAAATATCTGGTCATCAATATATTGTAGATATCAGACTGGTGTGTCACACAAAGTAAATATCTGGTCATCAATATATTGTAGATATCAGACTCATGTGTCACAGAAGGTTAGTGTCTGGCTACTACTATGTATTAGAGAGTAAATAAAGGTCTAATCTGTCATAAAATTAATTATTGGAGACTGTCGATATAGGACTTATAGATAGTGATTTTTATCTGCATTGCTTTACTCTTTCAGGCCAGGAGCACTTTCAGCTGGTTGTGTCTGAAGATCAGGAGACAGCAGTGTGATTCCCACTGACAGTGATTGAGCCTTGTGTTGCTTCGCTCAAACTCCAGACACAACTCTATGTGATAATGAACAAATCCTTTAGTTTTGTTTTTTCAATGAAGAAAGTATATATTTGATGTCATGCACTAGTTTTCTATTTGTGGTAAAGAATTTTAATATCATGACAGCTCGATGAGTGTCAAATTACAAGACCTTCAGTCTCTTGTCATAGTACTGTTAATAGTGTTGGACTGTGGAATAACAGGTGTCGTTGTAATGTCAGACAGGTGTTGCAATGGATTGTGGAATAACAGGTGTCGTTGTAATGTCAGACAGGTGTTGCAATGGATTGTAAGTAAGACAAATGTAAGTGTGCAGTGATGTCAGACAAATGCCAAAGTGTGGTGTCAGACAGGCGTCACAGTTTAATGTCACACAGGTTTCATAGTGTGAAGTCAGATAAGTGTCACCGTGTGGCATAGTGAGACAGGTCAATCAATGGATTGTAAAGTCGGACAGGTGTCACTCTTGATTACATGATATCAGACAAGTGTCACTTTGTGGCATAGTGTCAGACAGGTCGATCAATGGATTGTGATATCAGGCAGGTGTCACTTTTGATTACATGATATCAGACAAGTGTCACCATGTGGCATGGTCTCAGACAGGTCGATCAATGGATTGCAAAGACAGACAGGTGTCACACTTGATTACATGATATCAGACAAGTGCCACAATGTATTGTGATGTCAGATGTTTTTATATCAAGCAGATGTCACAGTGGATTGTGATATCAGACAGGTGTCACAGTGGATGGTAATATCAGACAAGTGTCACAGTGGATTGTGATATCAGACTGGTGTCACAGTGGATGGTAATATCAGAGTGGATTGTGATATCAAACTGATGTCACTGTGGATTGTGATATCAAACCGGTGTCTCAGTGGATTGTGATATCAGACTGATGTCACAGTGGATTGTGATATCAGACAGGTGTCACAGTGGATTGTGATATCAGACTGATGTCACTGTGGATTGTGATATCAGACAGGTGTCACAGTGGATTGTGATATCAGACAGGTGTCACTGTGGATTGTGATATCAAACCAGTGTCACAGTGGATTGTGATATCAAACTGGTGTCACAGTGGATTGTGATATCAGACAGGTGTCACAGTGGATTGTGATATCAAACCGGTGTCTCAGTGGATTGTGATATCAGACTGATGTCACTGTGGATTGTGATATCAAACCGGTGTCACAGTGGATTGTGATATCAAACCGATGTCAAAGTGAATCGTAATATCAAAGCGATGTCACAGTGAATCGTGATATCAAAACGATGTCACAGTAGATTGTGATATCAAACCGGTGTCACTGTGGATTGTGATATCAAACCGATGTCACAGTGGATTGTGATATCAAACCAATGTCAAAGTGAATAGTGATATCAAACCGGTGTCACAGTGGATTGTGATATCAGACAGGTGTCACAGTGGATTGTGATATCAGACAGGTGTCATAGTGGATTGTGATATCAAACAGGTGTCACTGTGGATTGTGATATCAGAGTGGATTGTGATATCAAACCGGTGTCACAGTGGATTGTGATATCAAACCGGTGTCACAGTGGATTGTGATATCAAACAGGTGTCACAGTGGATTGTGATATCAGACAGGTGTCACAGTGGATTGTGATATCAGACAGGTGTCACAGTGGATTGTGATATCAAACAGGTGTCACTGTGGATTGTGATATCAGACAGGTGTCACAGTGGATGGTAATATCAGAGTGGAATGTGATATCAAACCAGTGTCACAGTGGATTGTGATATCAAACCGGTGTCACAGTGGATTGTGATATCAAACCGGTGTCTCAGTGGATTGTGATATCAGAGTGGATTGTGATATCAAACCGGTGTCACAGTGGATTGTGATATCAAACCGGTGTCTCAGTGGATTGTGATATCAGAGTGGACTGTGATATCAAACCGGTGTCAAAGTGAATCATGATATCAAAGCGATGTCACAGTGAATCGTGATATCAAAACGATGTTACTGTGGACTGTGATATCAAACCGGTGTCACAGTGGATTGTGATATCAAACCGATGTCACAGTGGATTGTGATATCAAACCAATGTCAAAGTGAATCGTGATATCAAACCGGTGTCACTGTGGATTGTGATATCAGACAGGTGTCACAGTGGATTGTGATATCAAACCGATGTCACAGTGGATTGTGATATCAGACAGGTGTCACAGTGGATTGTGATATCAGACAGGTGTCTCAGTGGATTGTGATATCAAACTGGTGTCACAGTGGATTGTGATATCAAACCAGTGTCACAGTGGATTGTGATATCAAACCAGTGTCATAGTGAATTGATGTCAAACTGGTGTCGTAGTGAATGGTGATTTATCAGCAAATAAAGTGTTGTATATTGAAGTCCCTGCCGACTTTCTGCCATTAGAATTCTGATGTCTCCCTGTTGTTGACTGAGATGTCTATTGTTATACTGTATGTTTTCTGCCAGTGTCACAGCCATGTCCCAGCTTACTAATTTGACGTCCCATCAAGGTTGTAGTCTTGTGATAGCGAAGGTGTGACCTTAACTTGCACTTCCTATGCACTTTGTCGAATGCCAAATCCAGAGGCCAGGATCCTCCATGTTACGCTATAGCTGGGTGCTTTATCTTAGGTTGGAATGACTGATGTGGATCATCAGCAACTGTAATATTAAAATTAACTGAATTCCATAATCATGTGTTGTGTTTCTTACTTGCAATCTATGTGATTTATTAGTTAGGGACAGATTAAGATTTGGATAAAACTTTTTTGAGTCATTAGGGCACAAGATAGTTGTCATATAATGTAGCAGTTACCAGACAAAAATGAGAACAAATCCACAAAAAAGTTTTAACTAAAACCAAATCCACACAAAAGTTCAAACAACCGTTGTTAAAGGAACATTGTACACTTCCCCTGTAACTAATTAAACGAACATTGTACACTTCCCCAGTAACTGTAATTAAAGGAACATTGTACACTTCCCCAGTAACTGTAATCAAACGAACATTGAACACTTCCCCAGTAACTGTAATTAAAGGAACATTGTACACTTCCCCAGTAACTGTAATTAAACGAACATTGAACACTTCCCCAGTAACTGTAATTAAAGGAACATTGTACACTTCCTCAGTAACTGTAATTGAAGGAACATTATACACTCCCCAGTAACTGTAATTAAAGGAACATTGTACACTTCCTCAGTAACTGTAATTGAAGGAACATTGTACACTTCCTCAGTAACTGTAATTAAACCCCAGTAACTGTAATTAAAGGAACATTGAACACTTCCCCAGTTACTGTAATTAAAGGAACATTGTACACTTCCCCAGTTACTGTAATTAAAGGAACATTGTACACTTCCCCAGTAACTGTAATTGAAGGAACATTGTACACTTCCTCAGTAACTGTAATTAAAGGAACATTGAACACTTCCCCAGTAACTGTAATTAAAGGAACATTGAACACTTCCCCAGTTACTGTAATTAAAGGAACATTGAACACTTCCCCAGTAACTGTAATTAAACGAACATTGAACACTTCCTCAGTAACTGTAATTAAAGGAACATTGAACACTTCCCCAGTTACTGTAATTAAAGGAACATTGTACACTTCCCCAGTTACTGTAATTAAAGGAACATTGTACACTTCCCCAGTTACTGTAATTAAAGGAACATTGTACACTTCCCCAGTAACTGTAATTAAAGGAACATTGTACACTTCCCCAGTAACTGTAATTAAAGGAACATTGTACACTTCCCCAGTTACTGTAATTAAACGAACATTGAACACTTCCCCAGTAACTGTAATTAAACGAACATTGTACACTTCCCCAGTAACTGTAATTAAACGAACATTGAACACTTCCCCAGTAACTGTAATTAAAGGAACATTGTACACTTCCCCAGTTACTGTAATTAAAGGAACACTGTACACTTCCCCAGTAACTGTAATTGAAGGAACATTGTACACTTCCCCAGTAACTGTAATTAAAGGAACATTGTACACTTCCCCAGTTACTGTAATTAAACGAACATTGAACACTTCCCCAGTAACTGTAATTAAAGGAACATTGTACACTTCCCCAGTAACTGTAATTAAACGAACATTGAACACTTCCCCAGTAACTGTAATTAAAGGAACATTGTACACTTCCCCAGTTACTGTAATTAAAGGAACATTGTACACTTCCCCAGTAACTGTAATTGAAGGAACATTGTACACTTCCCCAGTTACTGTAATTAAATGAACATTGTACACTTCCCCAGTAACTGTAATTAAACGAACATTGAACACTTCCCCAGTAACTGTAATTAAAGGAACATTGTACACTTCCTCAGTAACTGTAATTAAAGGAACATTATACACTTCCCCAGTAACTGTAATTAAACGAACATTGAACACTTCCCCAGTAACTGTAATTAAAGGAACATTGTACACTTCCCCAGTAAATGTAATTAAAGGAACATTGTACACTTCCCCAGTTACTGTAATTGAAGGAACATTGTACACTTCCTCAGTAACTGTAATTAAAGGAACATTGTACACTTCCCCAGTAACTGTAATTAAAGGAACATTGTACACTTCCTCAGTAACTGTAATTAAAGGAACATTGTACACTTCCTCAGTAACTGTAATTAAAGGAACATTGTACACTTCCCCAGTAACTGTAATTAAAGGAACATTGTACACTTCCTCAGTAACTGTAATTAAAGGAACATTATACACTTCCTCAGTAACTGTAATTAAAGGAACATTATACACTTCCCCAGTAACTGTAATTAAAGGAACATTGTACACTTCCCCAGTAACTGTAATTAAAGGAACATTATACACTCCCCAGTAACTGTAATTAAAGGAACATTGTACACTTCCCCAGTAACTGTAATTAAAGGAACCTACATTGTACACTTCCCCAGTAACTGTAATTCAAGGAACTTTACACACTTCCCCAGTAACTGTAATTAAAGGAACATTGTACACTTCCCCAGTAATTGTAATTAAAGGAACATTGTACACTTCCCCAGTAACTGTAATTAAAGGACCATTATACACTTCCCCAGTTACTGTAATTAAAGGAACATTGTACACTTCCCCAGTAACTGTAATTAAAGGAACATTGTACACTTCCTCAGTAACTGTAATTAAAGGAACATGATACACTTCCCCAGTTAATTAAAGGAACATTGTACACTTCCCCAGTAATTAAAGGAACATGATACACTTCCTCAGTAACTGTAATTAAAGGAACATGATACACTTCCTCAGTAACTGTAATTAATGGAACATTATACACTAACAAAGGCACTTTAATAAAAGGTACAAATTCTTGTACTTGATAATTATATCTGAACCAGACAAATAAAATTCATAATAACTTTACAAGAGCATGTAGAAATACAGGCTAATAAAGTGAAAAAAGATAAGAAAAATAATCAAAAGGCATAAACACAACTGCTTTCCTTTTCAGTCTGTCTTCTGAATGCAAAATATCAGACAAAAAATATGTATACAACAATGAAAAGTTGAGAGATCCTATAAGATTAGTATAAGGTGGCCAACTACACGGATTCACCCAAAAGGACCAAGTCTTACGTAATGTTACTTTGTAAAAGAACACAAACAGTGCATTTATTTAGGTGTCACCCCTGAACAGGTTTCATAATCCAGAGCTTTGCTGAGTGCCCATACAGGTGTGATGATCCAGAGCTTTGCGGAGTGCCCATACAGGTGTGATAATCCAGAGCTTTGCTGAGTGCCCATACCGATGTGATAATCCAGAGCTTTGCTGAGTGCCCATACCGATGTGATAATCCAGAGCTTTGCTGAGTGGCCATACAGGTGTGATAATCCAGAGCTTTGCTGAGTGCCCATACAGGTGTGATAATCCAGAGCTTTGCTGAGTGGCCATACAGGTGTGATAATCCAGAGCTTTGCTGAGTGGCCATACAGGTGTGATAATCCAGAGCTTTGCTGAGTGGCCATACAGGTGTGATAATCCAGAGCTTTGCTGAGTGCCCATACCGATGTGATAATCCAGAGCTTTGCTGAGTGCCCATACCGATGTGATAATCCAGAGCTTTGCTGAGTGCCCATACAGGTGTGATAATCCAGAGCTTTGCTGAGTGCCCATACCGGTGTGATAATCCAGAGCTTTGCTGAGTGGCCATACAGGTGTGATAATCCAGAGCTTTGCTGAGTGCCCATACCGGTGTGATAATCCAGAGCTTTGCTGAGTGGCCATACAGGTGTGATAATCCAGAGCTTTGCTGAGTGCCTGAACAGTGCCTATTTTAAACTTTCACTCAAGAGGGATTCAGCTGAAACCTGATTTAAATATACCTGACATTGTCCATTTTTGGGTCAGTCTGAAATCCAATATGGCAGCCAAGGTCGCCATTTTGAAAAATACATTTTAAACCTATTCTTGAGTTCCACTGGTTCCATTCAGGTAGTTGAGGGAGATGCTGAAGAGAGGAAGCCAATAGACATGGATATAATTTATATTTTAAATAATGTGTATTGACACTTTATTGCAGCATTATCTCCCTTGAACATGAAGGACATAATTCAGCGGATGTGAATTTGACTGATCATGAAATAGCATATCATTGCTGAATAGATTGTTTGCTGACAATCATAAAGGTTTATAAAATACTTCGAGTTTATAACACTAGAAATATGTTTCATATGGGAAATTTTAAAACTCTTTTAAAAAAATAAATACATCCTTATTTGTTTGTAAAGTATCTTTTGAGGATGATGATGAAATATCATACAACAAATAATAAATAACAGATAAATAATACACATTAACAACATATTTGTAAATACTACACACTACATATATGTAAAATATACTGGAAAAAATCACAATATCACAAATGTATATGTATAAAAAGCATGTAAACATCACAAAAGTAATGTTATTATGTAAATGTATGAGAATAAGTAATAGTGACCCGGCCAATGTAAAGGAAATGTTGTTCTTGTTGGATGTCACTGAGATGAAGGGTAATAACACACTTGTCACATCCGTTCCGAAGATGTTCTGTATGTATCCCTACTCGACATCGCACCTGCCTCTCTTCCGTCCACAGTACAGAGGTATTTCTGAAAGTAGTCTATACAAGTGGTAATGCCACCTTCCTTCTCATTGCCAGGTTCTCCTTGGTAGATCAATATTGGAATGTATTACTTGCTACATAATTGGTCATTAATGTTTAATTATGGACAAGACTCCAAAACTATACAATCAACCATCATTAGATTGTGTGCTGCTCAAATCGCCATTCATACATGGTAAGACATTTGTCTTCCCTTACACAATATGTGTTACTGCTATTTCTTGAATGTATCAAATTTCATGTTTCCCTTGGTCCCTAGTTATGCATCGTCTCATATGATCTGATCCAAAAGATCAAAATGGCTATATATATAGATTGTTACCCTATGTCTGGATGGACTGTCTTCACTTTGGGCCCTGCTTGCGCAGTCCATTTTTAGATTCATTAAAAAAAGATGATTTTTTGACAGTTTTTTATTTGTGGAGAAATATAGGACGGATCTTTATTAGATCTCGTACAAAGATTTACCTTGGTCCCTAGCTGTGTCCTTTTTGAGACTGATCTGATAAACAGTTTGTTGTCAATATTTTGTGAGAAAAACATATATAAAAATGTTACTATTATTT